CAAACACACACACTCACTCACTCACTCTCACCCTCTCAACAAATATTCACAATAAGTAATTAAAATGTATTGGCAATGATTTGACAAAAAATCAGTTACAAGAATAACAATAAAAACTTTATATAAACTGCAATACGAATGGCATCTTTAATAATAGCTTCTGGGAAACACCTATATTTTTATTCCCACTTTTTATAGTGCAGTTTCGTACATGACTTTCCCCTCGAAAATATGTTTATCACATGAAGTTTATATTATGATATTCAAACTCATGATTGAAAGCCGTTTTGATAAATAGCTAATTTTTGTTGCATGAGATACTCACATAGAATATAATAAATTATATAATGATATTATATTACATAAAATAATTTTTTAAACAGACTTTGAAATGTATTATAGCTTTTGTGCAAATATTTATCATTGGTTTCAAAATAATAACCCTACCTGGTAACTTTTATATTTGTTATAAAAGGTTTTGGTTATGTTAAATAAAACTGTAATTTTGAAATAAACTTTAAAATTACTTATAGTGTTTATGTAACTCAATAATATTGGTACATAATAGCCACATTTATTTTTACCTTGGTCACTAAAACAAAATCTAAAATATCGTATATTTAGATAGAGTAATAAAATAAAAATATTTTATTTAGCATTGTATTATAAATAAAAATATTGACACCTGAATTAACTATTAAATATTATAACTTATACCGTAAAAATACTCGGGATAGTTTAAAATTTTGATTATTTTCATGCAATATACTAAACTATTTATGGCTAGACTTAACATTAGTTTATTATACGCCTGATATAAATAATATGATATTTCATATTTCAAATAACGGTTGTTATGTTGCGATAATAATTGGATTTATACACACAAACCCGCATAAAATTAGCCAGCATAAATTAAACAGTCAGTAGAAATATACTTAAAAATTACTGAATTAACCAGAGTATACTATGATTATATATTTTATAATTATTTTAATAAACTAGATAAAAACAATTCCGGTATTTATACGCTAGTAGTTCATTATACCGGGGTTGACATGTATTGTAGTCATAAATTATAAATGTTATGCAATTATAAAATGTCTATTAAATAGACATGTATTTCAATGGAAAGCATAATTTTTTATTTACAATAATTAAATGACAAATAATTTTGTAAATATTTATTTAGATTACAGTCTCTGTTTGCTATCGTATATTGAATTCAAGTGTTTATCAATTCATTCATTGAAATACAATAACAAATAACTAGTAATTTTCCGACAATTTAATTGTGTTTTATTTACTCAATTGTTTTTGTATACAATTATTGCCTCACAATAAGGAAATTCATGCTATTTTTGGGGTCAATACCTATTGCATGGGTATTGCATAAGTGAATAGCCATTGATTTTTTACTACTTATACAGTGCACTCAAGAATATTCTGTAATATTCTGTGCGTTGTGTGCAATACAGTGACAGCCATTGCATTTGACTACTGTTTGTAATTTAATATGTATACATGGTGATTCACAGAGCACTCGTGGAAATTAAACAAGGTGATTCATAAAATAATGACAATGTTTAAATACGGTAATATATACGTGTATTATGTTTCACATGCACAATAAGTTATTGTCAATAACCAAGGAATTTTTTATTTCAAGTTGGGGATAGTAAACAAGTGTACAGTATAATAATAATAATACCGGTTCAAAATTGCCTGGGGCTTATTAGCACGTGTATGTAAACTTGAAAATTAGCTGTAAACTGGAAAGTTCTGGATAATACTAATCGTGGGAAACTATTTTTACATTAACCTGGGTAATGCTATGAGCATGTTAAACTATAAATCTTTATTCGTTATTATTATAAATAGGATTATTGATTAGTAATTAGTCACTAGTTTAATTTTATATTTAATGTTAGTTTTCTAATTATTATATAATTAAGCTAGAGTATTTAATTAATGATTAAAAACAAAAAAAGAGTTTACAAATAAGCAAGGTTTTATTTAATACTTTATTAATAGGAATTCTTAATAAATATTTTTACTATAGTAAAACAAATATTCAAATTTTATTTACAGTTTAACATCGACTATAAACTATTTACCTAATTATTATGCACATGTTTAGTTAGCGTATATATCGCCCTGGTATTCCCATTTAAATTTAAACTTTAAAACACATGAAATACGTTTGAAATGACATTTGAGATGTTTATTAATGTTTATATTTCCCAGAAATATGATCACCTTTTCGATGATTCACTAAATATAGTGAAATAAACAATTTAATCTGGATTGTCATATGCGTGTTGTAAACAGCATTTTAAAGTTTATTTCCTATTTTACTAAACATTTCACACCAAAATCACTTATAAGTAAACTTTCCACTCATTTAACATGTGAACTACCGGTGCTACACTGTATCTTATCAATGTTAGTCTAGTAAACTGTATATAAAGCATAGAAAACACATGTTTTGCCATATTTTCAATAGTGTTTTCAACAGTGAGAAGTGAATTAAATTTTAAATTTTTAAAATTATTGTTAATTAAGTTATATTGTGTTTATAATACCATGCACTTCAGGATAATAGTATATAAGATAACAGCCAGTAAGTTTACAGACCATTAACATTACATTTAACTAAAAAATCTGTTAATACAATAATACTGCATTTGTTTTTTAAAATTTTGATTAAAACTGTAACTTATAATTAGTTTTAAAATTTATTATGTAGTTTTTGAGCACATATTTTGAAAACTTCAAGTGATGAACTTGGCAATAAAATGGTAGTTGAGTAAATTTATGGATCTTAGATCAAGGATCTAATTAGACTAAAATGATCAATTATCTATTAGATAATGTACATAACAGATAAAGTATCCACTGCAACTTATTAATAGACTTTAACTAATTTAAAACTTTTACAAAATTTTTAAAAAATGACTTATCGATGAAAACTACTTCACTTGATGAAAAATATTTTTAACCAGCTCATCATAACACCCAGAAAGTTATTTACTATAGTTACTTTTATTTTAATTAAAATCAAATTCATAAACAGATTTACTTAATTAACTTTAATGTAAGCTGTATTATAAGTTAAACATTTATAACTGAATAGTCGTTTAGTACACAAAACTGTAACAATTAAACAAATTAATGATTATATTAAAGATTTTCTATTAAAGTTTTTATAATGGACTAACATGTCACGATTTTATTTTATACCTTGCTTACCCCTACCTTATGCCATCCACCCACCTATTCATAAACATACTTATTTTCTCATTAATTAAATTATATTGAAATTGACTGATTAGTATAATCGTAAAAATATAAACAAAAATAACAAAAACTTAAAACTCTATATAATCAGTTGCAATTCGGGTATAAATCGCACGTAAAGTTATCGTAAGTGGTGATTTATGTCATTATTATTCGTTTTTATTTTTAATTTTGAAGTTAGTATTATATTTTATGTAAAATAAAAACAAAAAAATAATTTTTTTTTGTCCCCTTATATGGAATGCATGTCAACGGGAAATGTATTATAATATGCGATAAAACGGACTACCAGTGCATCCCTGGCCACTAGCCGTACCCATAGTTTGCTTATAATATGACTAGTAATAGGTTTACCCTTAACAGCACCTGTCGATTAAGTAATTAGTATTGTATTGCCGTTAATATATGCAATGTTTAGGTGGTTTTGGTATAGGGAAAGGGTTAGGGGGTTGGCATCTATACCCCCGGTGCTGATCATCAATGAAAACAATATATAATTAGATTTTTTATTTATGATTATTATTACATTTCCATTCATTTATGTCTCGACTATTCATTTCCTATTTATTATTATAATATATTTATATTTAAAATATGTTTTGATTTTCATTTTATTTATTTTTCTAATTTTTTTAGTCAACGTTAAGCCCATATTTAGCGTGCATTTCAATAGCATTCACCACTAAATACAGTAATAATAAGCAAAAATAAAAATTAAAACTTCAATCATAATATAAAATACATTTTATTTTTGTTTTTTTAATTTTTTTTGTCCCCTTATATGGAATGCATGTCAACGGGAAATGTATTATAATATGCGATAAAACGGACTACCAGTGCATCCCTGGCCACTAACCGTACCCATAGTTTGCTTATAATATGACTAGTAATAGGTTTACCTTTAACAACACCTGTCGATTAAGTAATTAGTATTGCATTGCCGTTAATATATGCAATGTTTAGGTGGTTTTGGTATAGGGAAAGGGTTAGGGGGTTGGCATCTATACCCCCGGTGCTGATCATCAATGAAAACAATATATAATTAGATTTTTATTATTTATGATTATTATTACATTTCCATTCATTTATGTCTCGACTATTCATTTCCTATTTATTATTATAATATATTTATATTTAAAATATGTTTTGATTTTCATTTTATTTATTTTTCTAATTTTTTGTTTTTATTTTTTGCTTTTTTCAGGACTTAATACACAATTCATACACGCATTCAATACACGAATATATCGCTATTGAATACAAAATACATTATTAAAACTTTTTTGTGTGTTTGGAAATCAGTATTAAAAAACAAAAACAAAAAAAGTTTTTAACAAACTTTTTTTCATCGTATAATAATTGTGTGAATAGCAAAAAAAACTCTCAATTCATATCACATTTATTATAATACCATTTGAATTGTGTATTGAATTTCATGTGTCATGCCTGGTGTAGGGGAGGACAGGCCGACCGTGACAACTACCAGCCCTGGCAGTGTGTCTACCAGTGCTCGCTCACCACATTCACCAGTCATTGAAGCGCCGGACGACATACTAGTGCGACACCAAAACCCATACAGATTTGAATCCAATCGATACCACAGTTTTGGCGGTGAATGGCCCGCGAAAAGCCCGTTACGGCCCGGACTACTGGCCCGACACGGCTTCTTCTACTGCCGGCCCACTAACACCATACAGTGCTATCAGTGCGGGGCGCCTATAGGTGCCAACAGTGTACCGGATAACCACTTTATACCCGCACACCAGCCCCTGTTTGGGGCCAATCACCGGACGAACTGCGCGTTTGCGAACGACAACGCCAGTGATAACATACCTCTAGTCGACTGCGCCGGTAGCCAACGCCAGGCACCGGCACCTCATCCCACGACACTCAATGGTCTCGTCAATGGCCACAACAGGGGCTCGGATTCCGACGACTCCGGCAATAGTTCCGAAGGGAACCGTAGTTCGTCGCCACCCCTAAGCAGTTCACCACCCGATGAGCTAATGTCCAGTTCCTCGTCAAACTCGTCGTCGGACACCACGCCGTCGCCTACCGGGCCTCAGCCGCCTACCAGTGCTTTGCCTAACGGTGCTGAGCCTACAGGTGCTCACAGCCCACAGCACCAGGAGATCAGCGATGAAATGCTGGCGAACTTTCGTAACTCCGACCGACATATAGGCGCCGTCCGGGAGGCCATGCGTTTGGAGCACAATAGACTCAAATCGTATTTTATAGCCGGACAACCCCTGTGGACAGTGGCCCAGGTCAGCCCCCACGACCTGGCTCACGCCGGATTTTTTATGCTCGAGAATGATAGGGTGCAGTGCCCGTTTTGCACCGGGGTTATCAGCTCGTGGGCACCCGGTATGTATCTATTTGTTTTAATTAGTTTATAATTAGTTTATAAATTATAAGTGTTTATATAGTTTTAGAAAACTGTATTAAAAATATTAAACAGTCAGTGTTTGTATTATTTTTAATACTGTAATAAATGATCTAGTTGTATACGAAACCATTTAGTTGATAGCATTATAGTTACTTTGTGAAAATATGTGCTAGAGGACTTTATAATAATTTAAAAATTGTGAACAATTTTCATTATGATCTAATGATGACACATTTTATTTAGCATTAGGTTTAATATCACAAAATTAACATTGATCAAACATTATAATTACTCTAAAATAACTAGGCACAATTATTTTTGATTTCTTAAAGGCTGTAACAAATATATTACAATTATATCAAACATAACTTTAATTTTATTATTAACAATATTGGTTTAATTCATTATTCTAAAAATTACTATTGAAACTAGCCAGTGTCAATTTTTTACTTAATTAAAATTTTTACTTAGTTTAATATATTTTTGATTTATACTATAATACACATCAGTATAATATTTAATTGCAAGTGTATTATTATAATTAGGGTTTTTTGAAAGTCATACACGAAAACAATACGAAAAATTTAAATATAATACATAAATAATTAATGCAAATAAATAGACACATCACGTGTAGGTTTGCTTACGTGAATAGGGAATGGGATGTAAAGGGTAGGGCTGTTCAGCCACAATAGCAAATGTATTGTTTGTTTAATTAATTAATTACTTTTGAACTAAAAGGGAATGACTGTCAGTATATTCACGAAATTTATTTATTTTTTGCTGACATTTAGTTTTTGCGTAAAAAAAGTTTTCATTTTAATTAACTTTTGTTTGAAATGAATTGAAAAAAAGTTTTCAATTTTTATATAAACTTTTTTCTTATGGGAATTTAATTATCTTAAAGTGTTTTGACCCTGTTTAGTCTCACTATTAATCTCGTAACAATGTAATCAGAATTATATAAAAAGTATGTTATTTATTATGTGAACAATATTTTTAATTTATATTTTTAGTGTATTATCCCATATAATCAATATTCAATAGATTATCAATTAGATTATGTGATAAGAAGGCACAGGTAGGTGACCTTGGGTATTTGAATAATACATTAGGAATCCAATTATATACAGGTGCTAGCGATTGAATAAATAAAATTCGTGAATACAAATAAATAAAAAAGTTTTATAATAGATATTTATTATTCAAAATTATAACTCACTTATTGTTAGTGCATTAATAAGGTTATGGGAAAGTCTAAACACGTATAGATTATGGTGTCATCAAGGTAGTTATTAGTGATTATTATTTAATATCAATACATGGGAATAAATTAGAAAATTAACTACAATTTACTGGTAATTTGATTTTGAAAAATATCTCATTTTCTCAAAAAGTATTTATTTATTGTAAAAGTCATGTGTACTATAAAACTAATACTTTTGAATGACTGTAGTAACAATAATTATTATTAACTGTGTTTGTGATTACGATATATAGTAAGCTGTTACAATAATCATAACTGAAATTAAAATATATTTTTAAAAATAATTTATTAAAAAGTGGATGATTATTGATATAGTGTCTAAACTGTAATTCTAAACATAAGTTTATAATTATTTTCTATATTTATTAATACAAAAATTATTGGCGTAGCGGTCGAGGTGGTTAAATTTTATTTAATTAAATGTAGTTTATAAGTAGTTTGCAATGTTGTCAAAATTAAAATCTATAGTTGATTTTAAAATCTGTATTATTTTTATAGATTTGTAAACTGTAAACATTTATGCATTAATATTATAATATAATACTTTAAAAGTTTTAATATAATATTGGTCTAGGACCTAGACTCTAGGTGGTAAACCCCTTACTTGAAAAAATTAGCTAAATTAAAAATATATTTATTTTAATACAGTATACAATATTTTTACAATATTATAACACAGAATATTCTGTATATTAAACTCAATCAATATTAATCACACGATTACTTGAATTCCCAGGTCTTCGACCATTGGAGGAGCACTCGAAACACTTCCCATTGTGTCCGTTCATAATGGAGGAGGACGTGGGGAACGTCCCGATCGGGTCGGACCCCATACGGGATCCGCAACCGGTCACCGGATACGACGTGTGCGGCTCCCGAGACGTGTCACCAGTCGATGAACAGCTACAGGAGCTGATGACAGCCGCTCACCAAAGGTCGGGCACACCATCACCCCAACCACCACCGGCTACCGGTGCCGTCGAGCACCGGCACTCACCTATTGATGTGCAGTCACTGGGAATACAGTTATATTCGGGACCCAAGAATCCAGAGATGGGTCCACTCGAGAGCCGGAAACAGACGTTTGGCAGCAATCAGTGGGCACAGGAAGGGGTGTCCATCAGCACCGATAGGTTGGCTGAGGCCGGCTTTTTCTATATAGGTATGTGCTTTTTACCCTGATCATATTTTTCTAAAAACTATACGCTAATTAGTGAAGTATTACTGGATAGTGTATAATTTTAATAATGTAATAGGCCTTGAATAAACTTTAACAATTTCAAAAATTGCTCATATATTATATTCAGTAGCTAGGTCTGTTGTTAATGTTCCGAAAACATTAGATAATTTTATTTTTAGTTTATTTTTAAATTTATTAATAATAGCATTATGTAAAATAAGTGCAATTAGTACTGTTATATTAGTATCAATGAACTGCACCTATAGTGAACTCCCACTTACACTGAACCCCATGAATTGCATTGTAAATACTATGTGCTAGATAACATGATTAGTAATTGATAATATTTATAAAATGCAAATGACTAATGACTTATCAATTGTTTTTGTGGCATAAATACCGATACTATGTATTGATGTGTGATTAATTGTTTGCAAATAACTAGCTAATCATACATTGATTATAATAGTCAGTGAACTTTATAAAAACATTGAACTGGTAGGGGTTTGTTAGTAGTGACAAAATATAATGTATAATATTAACAATAGTCCTAGCATACTATAGGTTTTTAAGACAAATCAATGATTATGCAAAAAGGTCGTGGTTGGTTATGCCATAGTTAAATTTACCACAATTCCTGTTATAATATATTAAATATTATAATTATTATTACAGTTTTATAGTAAAATATAAATATACAGGTCATACCTTATTAATGATTAGATAATAATCATATTAAAAGATTATTACTCAACAATATCAGTTTTATTAGCAGGGTCAGTTTTATTAACACAAAACATGACAAACAAATATAAATAATTAGAGCTGTAATTAAAACAATACAATGCATTCATAATAATATTCAATATTGATATTACAGTATATTGGTTTCTAACGTGGAAATCATAATAATTGAACATGTTGCAAATATAAATTAACAAATATTTTTCTACCCTAGGATACCGGGACGCAGTCAAGTGTTTCCACTGCGGGGGAGGGCTGGCTGAATGGGAACCGGGCGATGACCCGTGGGTTGAGCATGCTAAGATGTTCCCCGAGTGTAGTTTCCTGAAACTCAACAAAAGTGCTTCATTTATACAGCGGTGCCAACGGCTGGCCTCCGAGCCCTCACCCCCGGGCGACTCTCATGAGATGCCCAACCCCCTCGGCACTGACCAACACGTGTGCCGAGTAGTGGACCAATGGTTGGCCGACGACCCGGTGGTCCGGCAGTTGTTGAACACCAGTATCTATCCCCGGGATGTGATTAAAGCGGTGCTAAACGAGCGGTACCGGAGCTGTGGGCAGCCGTTCCCCAACTTTGCCCAACTTTACGAAGCGGTCGACGCGATCGCCCAGCCCTCAGATGGTCGACCGGACAGTAACTCCATGTCCACTGAGACTAATAATGATAATCAACAAAACGTTTGCCAATCCATGGATAGTGAGTCCACTGGCGATAAACCTATGGATACTAAGTATGTAGTATAATACTGTTGAATGTTTTTCAGTTAATACTTACACAGTAATTAAATTAAAATACATATTCATTATTAGCATGGTAATAATACTTTTTCTATAGGATTATTATAATCCCTATTATAATCATTTATTAACTATAATTACGTACGACATGAATGATCCCTAATTTATTAGGCATTGAATTGAGTTTTTAATTAACAAAATTTTATCTATTATTTTAATAGTGAAAGTCAATCACCAGAATCATCTCAAACCTCCCAAACCAGTGGTGATGTGAAACGCCAACCACAGCACCGGGCGATTGCCAGTCGTTTAGCGCCCGTCATAACCACTGGCGACACCATGTCTTCCACACCCAACGCGTTCACCTCAACTACCAGTGCGTTAGCGCCGGGATCCTCATCATCATTATCAGCAACACTACCGACAACCTCAACAGCGCCGACAGCCCTTCCACCACCACTACCGCAGCTAAAGTCCCTGTCCAGGGGGTCGGGACCCCCACCCCCATCACCCACCAGTCGGCTACAGTGCAAGATATGTCTGGGCTCGGAGATCGAGGTGGTGTTCCTCCCGTGCGGACACCAACTGGCCTGCACTGAGTGCGCCCAACGGCTGACCGACTGTCCCGTATGCCGACAACCCATACGTGGCTTTGTGCGCACGTTCTTCTCGTAAAAGCACCGGTAGTTTTTCACACTAACACCACGTGATTGTGTGGTTTTATATGATTATTATAACACGGCTATAATTTATCATGTTTTTAATTTTTTTTATTGCCCATGTACCCGGGTATTATTTTGCAGATTTCTTTGTGTTGCTAATAAATAATTACCTATTATGTAGTTATATAGTTCGCACAAAATATTATTACCCTGAACACCTTACGCTTTTGTACCCAGATATATCTGATACCAAACAGCCTGAATATATTATAATTATATTATTATATAATTTTGTATATATATATATTAAAACTCATAGAATATTTTTAACAGAATATTCTGGACACTGAACAATTACTTAATTTTTTACACACAATTTTTATATAACACCAGGCACAGTTTAATAACACAATATATCTGCGAGATTATGAACACACCCGGGTATTAACCAAGAATATACAGTTTTTTAATGGTGGTTTACATGCGATATACATGTGACACTATGACCCCAATCAAATAAAAATTGTCATTTTTTGTGAGCTTTATTGTGCAAAAAATTTGAGTCAATTTTTACGGCATTAATACAGCCCTACCTAACCCTATAACCCCTGACCGGACTCCCGGTTTACAGAGAGATTCTGGTATAGAATATACAGAATATAATACAGAATAGTGACTGATATTCAGTCTAAATCTAATGCCAATACGAAACAAACTGGATCATTTATGATAGTTGTTTAGATGTTTACTAATATTTATAATTAGCACATACACCCCCATCACTCCCACCCCCACTTCATACACCATACACCACTCAATCACGTGAAATAGCGGGGTATTTATTTGGGTAAAATACATTAATTATATAATTATAATGATTATATTTTGGATAATAATTATGTGTATTTTCTACCGTAAATTATATGTTAATTCATTATTAATAGTTATTTTTAAATTATATTAATAATATTTTGTTTGTAATGTAGTGGGTGACCCTAATGATTACACCTATTTCATAAATCATTTAATATTGTATAACAATATTGCTATAATTGTGCTAGATATTCGTAATCTGTATTGTGAAACAATAGTCATATTAACAGTTATTAATATTTTTTTATAAATTTAAATATACTTTTAAAACTTAAAAATTATATAAATATATAATAAAGTTTCTAAACATATATAAATTATTTAAATTTTAATTAATACGCAAATCATTTAAAATAGGTTTAACTTTTTGTAAATTTCAAAAATACTTTAATTGTGATTATTAAGTGATTTTTTATATAAAATTTAGTTACTATTTAATCAATGGATATTGTAATGCAAATTATAGAAATTATAAAATTAAATAAAATATTAAAAACCAAGCTAATGTGAATGTTATTTATTTAAACCAGTGTTAACCAATTAGGACTCTGTATGGGTCGTTAATAATCAATGGCATGAAACAACTTAAACTCAATTCACGACATTTGAAACGCCTGTCCCTTGAGTGTAACTCAAGAATATTCTGTGCGTTAAACTCAATGCCATAGAAACGCATTACAATTACTATGCAAAGGACGTCAAGAATATCATTGAAAAATGTCCCAAAATTAAAATTATTGAAATCTCAACAATCTCAAATGATCATTTAATTATCAAATAATCATCAAATAATCTGAAATTTAATTATCAAGTATAATAATCTACTTAACAATTATCAATAACCTTGCCAATATAGGTGAAATATTAACATAACATTATATTATAATATCAAAAAATTTATTAATTGTTTGTATTTTTGCATTTATTTTCAGAAAATTTAATGTTTAATACAATTTAATAAATAAATAAATATCATCTATTAATTATACAATTTTATAATCAATAAAATATTATGAATCATAAGAATTTTATTATTATTTAATAATATTACCTACAATGTTATTTAAAAGTTATTAACTGTTACTAATTTTATTTTTTATGTAAATTAAAATACTAAAATATTTTCAAATATCTATTTTTTAAAACGTATCATAAATTATAATTTATAAAAAAAAGTAATAGAAAGTGTTTAGCAAATAATCAAGGCTAAAAACCACTCTCAAGTTTACAGACCATTAACATTACATTTAACTAAAAAATCTGTTAATACAATAATACTGCATTTGTTTTTTAAAATTTTGATTAAAACTGTAACTTATAATTAGTTTTAAAATTTATTATGTAGTTT